GCCCCAAAAGGAAGGAGAAATAGAGGAAAGGTGCCCTGTGGTGGAGGATGTGTTCTCCTCTCAGTTCTTCCCTCCCCCCAGCAAATGGATGCATCCTCTGGCAAGTTAAATAAATATCAATAAATAGACTTCAAAAATACTGCAATAGCTTGAGAAAGTTGAAATGTCTACAACATTGTGCAAATTTATCTCTAAGATATTATCACATGAGGCCCAGCTGGCGGCATGGTGATTAAGGTGGTTGGATCCCACATAGCTGACTATGTGGTTTAGAAAACACGCTGGGCACGTGTGTGGGCATGCTCAAAAATCTTAAAACAAGAATGGATGAGAAGGGACTGCAGTATGGCCATCCCTCCTGGGGTGCTTTCTCACTTTTTCTCTCTGGGAAGTACATGCACCCCTTAGCAAATTTTTGAAAAGCAGGGGGGAGCTGAAGAACACTATTATAAACATAATTCCAAGTAACTGATCTATTTTTATGATCCAAACCAGGGCTATCGGATCCAAATAAGGTTGACATTAGAATGCTTCATAAATAATATATATATTTTAAGTTTCTGCTTTACTATAGGGCATAAGTACTCACCAGAGACAGAAAGAGGGTGAGTGAGAAATCACCCCCCCTCGAGGTTGGGGAGGAAGGCTATGCCTCAGTCCCTTCTCCTCCAGTATCCTCTCAGGATTTGGGGCATGCATGTACATGTGCCCAACACAATTTTCAAAACACTGGGTCTGGAATTTGAATCGCGGAGTCAGCCATGAGGAAGCCATGCGTGAGTCATGCCTTAACCTCCATGCCACCTACTGCCACTACAAATAATCTTTCAAAGAAAATTTTTTATATAAAACAATGCAGGAACCAGCAGTTGGCGTAATGGCTATGTCGCTGGGCTCTCACATAGTCAACTGCAGTTCAAGTCCTGGACCCGGTGGCTTAAACTCAGCTGGGCGTGTGCATTTATGCCCAAGATCCCAAGGAGAATAGAAGGGAAGGGATTGTGGCAAGAGTGGAGGAGAAGTGATTGTGGCATGGCCATCTCCCCTGGGGAGTGATTTCTCGCTTTCTGTCTCTCTGTCTTCCTGGTGAGTGCACGTGCCCTCTCTCAAAAAAACAAAAACAAAACAGCAATGCAGGGCTTGCAAGTGGTGTGGTGGTTAAGGACACTGGGTTTCCACATGGCTGACCACAGTTCAAGTCTCAGACCTGGCAGCCTTCCTTCTCTCTCTCTCTCTCTTTGTATTTCTCAATTAAAATAGCAATAATAATAATAATAATAAATAAAGTTAAAAATAATTCCATAAAGAAAAAAAAAATGTTTGGGGGGTCAGCAGGTGGCACTGTAGTTAAGGGCACTGGACTCCCACATGGCTGACCACGGTTTGACTCCTGGGCCTGACACCTTGCTTTCTCACTTTCCCTCTCTCTCTCTCTCTCTCCCCGTTTTCTCTCTCTGGTCAAATTAAAATAAATGTAGTAAATAAATAAATAAAGTTAAATAATTTTTTTAAAAAAGCAATGCTTGCATTAATCGTCACTAGTGTTAGCAAATTTATTTATTTTTAAGAGAGATTTTTTGCTATAGGGCACATGCACTCAACAGAGAATCAGGGAGAGATAGAGAGGCAGAAAGTGAGAAATCAATCCCTGGTGGCAATGGCTACGCCACAACCTCTTCTCTTCCATTATCCTCTAGGGATTTTGGTCATGCGCACACACATGCCCAGCATTAAGTTATTTTTTGGAGAGATTTTTTGCTATAGGGCGCGTGCGCTCGCCAGACAGACAGAGAGAGACATTAGAGACAGAAAGCGAGAAATCCCCCCCCAGGGGAGATGGTCACGCCGAAATCCCCTCTCCTCCATTCTCCTCTAGGGATCCTGGGCACGCACGCACACGCGCCCAGTGTGAGTTTTAAGTCACCGGGTCCAGGACACGAACCACGATCAACTAAGTGGGAGTCCAGCGACATAGCCATTACACTAACTGCTGGTTCCCCCCAGCATTAAGTTTTAAGCCACTGAGTCTAGGACTCAAATGCCAGTCAACTACATGGGTGTCCAGCAAAATAACCAATATGCCATCTGCTGATGCCAGCAAATTTATTTATTTATTTATTTATTTATTTATTTATTTATTTATTTATGCTAGAGGGCACGTGTGCTCGTCAGAAAGACAGAAAGCGAGAAATCACTCCCTAGGAGGATGGCCATGCTGCAATCCCTTCTTCTCCTTTCTCCTCTTGGGATCTTGGGCATGAATGCACACACACCCAACCTGCGTTTCAAGTCGCTGGGTCCAAGATTCAAACCATGTTCAACAACATGAGAGTCCAGCAACATAACCATTACTCTCCATCTGCTGGTCCCGCAAATTTATTTTTTAAGCATATTGTTTTGTGGAGTTTAATATTTTTCCCATGGAGTGTGTGCGCTTATCAGAGACAAAGAGGCGGGACCAGCAGTTGGCGTAATGGCTATGTCTGTCCCTGGACTCCCATGTAGTTGACTGCGGTTTGAGTCCTGGACCTGGTGGTTTAAACTCACACCGGGCATGTGTGTATGCGTGCCCAAGATCCTGAGATGAGAATGGAGAAGAGATTGCGGCATGGTATCCCCCTTGGGGGGTGATTTCTCGCTTTCTGTCTGTCTGTCTTTCTGGTGAGCACACACTCCCTATAGCAAAAACTTCTCCAAAAGAAAAAAAAAAAAAGAGGGAAAGGGAGAAATCACTGGCCACTCTACAATCCCTCCTCCTCCAGTTTCCTCTTGAGATTTTGGGCATATGCACACACTTGCACCTGGTATGATTTTTTAAACCAACATCCTGGGACTAGAACTGCAGAGTTAGCCATTTGGGATCCAGCTGCCTTAACCTCCACGCCACCTGCTGGCCCCAGAGTACACTGCATTTTTATATACATTTATCTATGGTTAAAAACTTAAAATCCTAAACTTATTTCCAGAGAAAAACTCATCATTTCAGTCCTAGTATCAAAGTCAAGATGGCAGCTTCCTATTTGATAGGTAATCTTTTTTTTTTTCTTTAAATTTGCTATAGGGCATGTGCACTGGCCAGAGAGAAAGTGAGAACTGCCCCCTCTACCCCAGGTGCCAGATGAAATAGCCACGCCTCAATCCCTTTTCCTGCATCCTCCTGTTGGGATTTTGGGCATACACCCACACCCACTGGCATGTTTTCAAAGCTGTCAGGTCCAAGACTTGAACCAAGCAGCCGGTCATGTGGGATCCAGCTCTCTTAACCACCAAGCCACCTAGCTGGCTCTTTGACAGTTACTTATCATGTTTATTTTAAGTATATTTTACATCTACTGGGTGTTTCAGAGCTTTAAAGTTCACTATGGTCATTATATTAATAAGTACAACATGTGCACTGCAATATTCCCTTTTTAAAGAGGTGCAAACATAAGTTAAATAACTTATCCAAGGTTCCCAACAAGTCATTCAGTGAAAGTTGGGAGTAGGACTGAAAATTCACTTCCTAGACTATTACTGACAACTCTACATTTTCCCAATTCCAAAAAAGAAAGAAAAAAAAGTTAAGCCAATTCACTTTCAGTACCTTTTTTAAAACTTAATTTATTATTATTTTTCAACCTGACCAGAGAGAGAGAGAGGAAAAGTGAGAAAGCAAACCACCTGGTCCGGGACACGAACCACACTTGGCCATGTGGGAGTCCAGCACCTTAACCACTATGCCACCTGCTGGCCCCCACTTTCAGTAACTTCTAACAGAATACTGCAAACACACCAGTGTGCTTCTCATCATAAACACTTAATAAAAAGATTCCCTTGAATGAAACTCACTACATTTAAAAACCACTGTCCCTAGTTCTTGAAACCCACAAGAACACTACTAGAACTGGATATGTGAAATCCTAGGGAGTGTTCAATATGTACAATTGATTGTCACACTAGCCAAACATTTTAGAAGTTCATCTTTTATCACCTCATCCTAGTGTTGTGGGGTGTGGTGCATTCACTGCCTCATTCTTCCAAGAGTCAAGTCAAAGACCACAATCTCAAAAGTAAGTAGTTCTCGGTGAGAAGAGAGTTACATAGCCAACGAAAGGAGAGCTCTAATAAATTGCTGCTTTTAAAGAGATATTTTTAAAGGATGATTACATGCTTCACAGAATTACTGTTAAGTCGCCCGCCAAGAAGGATGGCTCCTTTAAAGTACCTTTTAAGGCATATCCCTCCCTGTTTGGGACACAGTCTGACTTGTTGGACGGGATTAATCTGGGCACACTCACACAGAAGCCCTCCAAACCAGCTTAGGTCATGAAAACATCATTTCGACCTCCCCACCGTAGCACTCAGCCCTTTTTATACTACAAGGGGCTGGATGATCCTCTTTAACAATCTTTCAGAAGATTCCCTCGGCGGAGACAGTGACAGCCGTCCTCCCGCGGATGCCTTTGGAAATACAAAGTGTTGACACCAGGAGAGGCTCCCAGGAAGTGTCACTGTGGCAGCAGGTGGAGTAGCCCTGCGAGCCGAGCAGGTCCTTTCTGACCTAGTCTCAGTCCTCCGCTTCCCGGCTCGGGTTCCGCCTTACGGACCTTACCAAGCTGCCTGGCACCCCTTCTTTCTAATCCTCCGGGAGGCGAGGCAATGTAAGCAGAAAAGACGGCCACCCCACCTCTTCCGGGGACTCGCAGGCCCGCTCCTTGGTCATGTCAGAGCCTGACAGACCGTACCGGGGAGAGGCAGCCGGCTCCTTCTGGAGCCTGCCGGCCGGAACCAGACACCCCACGGACCCTTTTCACAGCTCCCACCCTTCGACCGCCCCCCCCGCCGCCACCCTCCTCACTCGTGAATCCCCTTTCCCCAGGAGTACCCCGGTGGAGTTACCGGCCCACTCAAAAGTAAGAGCGACGGCCACCCCTGTGGGTCACCCTGGCCCCGCTGTCACCGCCCTGCTCCCGGCCCCTGCCCACGCCGCTGGCGGACCCCGGTGACGCCCGGGTCGGTACCTTGCGGACACCCTTGTAGATATAGAAGTAGAGCTCCCGGCCCACATTGAAGCAGAGGCGGTCGCCGTTGCCGGACTGGTCGTTGAGGTTGACGAAGGAGACGCGGACAGGGTTGGATCCCTGTGAGTTGAAGGGCACCCGGTTGGGCCGGCTGGACTCCCGGCTGTACTCCGAATGCGGCAGCAGCTTGTACGGACCTTCCCGGGTGGTGAATTGGGTCTTAATCTCGTTCATCTCCTTCCCTCCTCCCTCCGTCGCCATCTTGGAAAGCAGCGTTCATCCTGCCCTAAGTGCCCGGATCACGCCCACCGCGCAGGCGCCGGCCCAGGCGCTCGCTCTCCCCCCGCCTCTTCCTCCCGCCCTTCCCACCCGCGAGCCGGCCCCGCGAAGGCGGGCGGAGGGGAAGGGGCGGGCTTGTTTACGGCCCGACTGGGCAGGCGCGCTCCCCCCGCCCCCCCGCCTC